GAGCCAATACTCAACAATAATCAATTACCAAGAAATTAACATAGGTCTTGTTCAACATTGATAATCTTCAATTTAGTTTAGACAGTACATAATAGAGTCGCAACAATCATGGTATAAGACTCACGGGCATGCTTGACACCAACGTATAGATACTCATCACCACACCTATACGTCGTACTCAACACTAACACGTAGCAAATAAGACTACAACTCCTATTCCCTACACTTACCTCAATTCCTCGAGCTAAGGTTAGACCAAATACTTACCTCAATTCCATTACAAAATCAAGCCTCAATTACTGCTTACCTCTCAGTTCCACTTCCAATCCGCTTGTATCTAGTCATAATTTACTTAATAACATCAATAAATGCTAAATAAACATATTCTAATGTATGAATATAGACTTCCAGTTGTTTTCCCAAAAAGTCAAAAACCGACCCCGGGCCCACCTGGTCAAAACTCGAAATTCGAACCAAAACCGATCACCCATTCACCCACGAACCCAAATATGCGATTGGTTTTGAAATCGGACCTCAACTTGAGGTCCAAATCCCCAAAATTCAAAAAAATCCTAATTTCTACCCAAGAACACCCAATTTTCCATGAAAACCCCTAGATTTTAAAGTGAAATCATGTAAAAAAGATGAGTTAGATTGAAGAAGATGAGTAAGAAATCATTTACCTATGATTTGGAGAAGTTTGAGTCTTTGAAAAATCGCCTAAAGATGTTTAGGACTTGAGAGAATTGGAAAATGATGAAAAATCCCGTCTGAAATCCCATTTAACAGGCTGTAGTTACCGCAATTGCGATCAGGGGTTCGCAATTGCGAACCCTTTGAATTACTGTTGCCTTCGCATTTGCGATGAAAATGTCGCATTTGCGACAGAAGGACCTTCGCAATTCCGGCCAAAAGTTCGCATTTGCGAGGGTGGCCTGCCTAGGCCTGGTTCGCATTTGCGACATTATTGTCGCATTTCCCAGGCCTGCTCACTTCGCAATTGCGAAGCCTGATCTCGCAATTGCGAAGCCTGATCTCGCAATTGCGAGATCAGAGGCCTGTGCAAAAATACCAGATGCATCAGCTGAGTTTCCTAAGTTCTAACCACTCCGTGGCCTATCTAAAACTTACCCGAGCCCTCGGGGCTCCACACCAAACATGCACGCAAGCCTAAAAATATCATATAGACTTGCTCGTGCGATCAAATCATCAAAATAACATCAACAAGTACGAATTTAACGTCAAATTCATGAAATTCTTAAGAATATTGAAATTTCCATTTTCTCAACTAAGGGTCCGATTTATACCAAATCAACTCCGATTCTTACCAAATTTCACAAATTCGACTTAATTATTATTTTAAACCAGTACCTGGCTCCGTAACCAAAATACGGGCCCGATACTATCAAGATTACATGCTATTTCATTTCTAAAAATGCTTATATTTTCCAGCAAACAATTTTCTTTAAAAATTCTTTTCTCGGGCTAGGGACTTCGGAATTCGATTTCGGGCATACGCCCAAGTCCCATATTTTACTACGGACCCTACGGGACTGCCGGAACACGGGTCCGGGTCCATTTTCCCAAAATATTGACCGAAGTCAACTTAAGTCCATTTTAAAGGCAAAAATTAGTATTTTTCTAAAATTTTCACATAAAGGCTTTCCGGATATACGCCCGGATTGCGCACGCAAATCGAGGAGAGACAAAAGGAGGTTTTTAAGGCCTCGGAACACAAATTTGATTTCTAAAGCAAGAGATGACCTTTTGGGTCATCACAAGATGTCACGAGATGCAGAATTGATACTCCTATCAAGTTGAGCGAATTGTAACGATGCAAGAGATAAAGAAAAAGATAAAGAACATATGAACTAGAAACCAAAATTGATGCCGATATGTACGGTTGTCGAATTCAATTGATCAAATGGATGATGTGGAATATGCTTTAATTTTTGTTTGATAGTCACCACTATAATTAGGTTTACGTCGGGCTGATTGTTTATTATTTCCTCTTCACAAATAGTTGTGCAGTTTTTATCAGTAAATTGTTTGAATAAATTGTTTGTGTTGAGCTTTGTGAATAAGCATTTAATACAGTAAATTAAAAAAAATGAAAAAGATCTAATTGAGCAATTAGTTGAAATATGTCACGTTGACCTTTTTTGATAGAAATATCTCTTCAATGGTATGAGATAAAAGTCTTAATTTACATTAGCTAAATTGTTGAAGGAAATTAGATGTCTAGTTTATTAAGACGAACGTGGGAAAAAGAAAAAATAGTATGTCAAGTAATCAGTTAAAAGGATTGCTTCTCGCTACGAAGAGGTTTAGTAAGTATATGCCATCAAGCTTAGAATTTAAGGGTATCGATGAGGGTCTTTCATATAATAAACTTGTTATCTATTCTTTCTTTCTTTTTTTCTCTCTTTTTCCTTTCCATTTCTCCCGTGTAATTGGAAAAATTTATTAAAAACATAAAAGTACCATGCATCTAGAACTTCTAGAGGATACAGACAAGTGCGCATTCTCCGCACAGAGCTGTTTGACCCAAAGCTACGTTAATGGACCAGAAGTAGTGTCGTCACCTGTTTTCTTCCCAATTAAATAAAGCTTGTCGAGCAATTAAAAAAGTTTGATTTTTTACGGAGTCCTCCTACCTAACATGGTTTGATGGGACGTCTTATAATTTTGGGGATAATTTTCCCCTATTATTATGCACTATTATTTTCTTTTTCTTATAAAGAGCAATTTAATAGCATTATCATGGAATAATAGGGGTGTATATAGACCGGGTTGGTTCGGATTTTGCAATTACCAAACCAAACCAATAAAACTCGGGTTTTTCAATCTCGGTTTTTCGGATTTTTTCAGGGTTTTTTCCGGTAAAATCTTCGTAGCACAAAACATATAACGTGTGCTCCAAATATTTCCTTAATCCTAGTAAGATACAACTATATAAGGTATTTTCCAAGAAAATAATACAAAATATGAGAGGTGTCATGGCATTATCCTAAAATATTCAACACTAAAGACAACAAAATTAAGTAATATAAATATTGCTAATTAAAAAGGCATAATAAAAATAAACATAATTTAAAAGTACTAAGTCATGCTAAAATAAGTAGACTAATAAGGGAGCAGTAATTACATGACTAAACGCTAAAAAAAAAATTAAAAATAGGTTATGCATTTTTATCTAAATAATTGCAAAACAAAAAACCGATATTCAATACATTATCATTCCTAGTATTGAATTGAATGTCTTTTGTTAGCATTAGTATTGATTTAATTTTGGTTTGAGCTTTTATTAGCATTATTTGAGTTACTAAAATTAATGACTATAAAACTTATTGGAACATTCAAAAGTTCTAAGTCCAACCTTGAAATAATACCTTAAAAGAAAAAAATTATGAAAATGTTTAAGAAATATTTATAAATTATATCACAATAAGTATATTTATATATTAAATATATCTAAAAAATTTATGTATGTAATGTCGGGTTGGTTTCGGTCTGACTTTCTATAGTTAAAACCAAACCAACCCAATTATGGTTGGGTTTTTTTTTCCAACACGAAACCAAATCAAACCAAATCATAGTCAAGTTTTTTTTCTCGATTTGACTCGAATTATCGAGTTGGTGGAATTTGTCGGTTTCTTTTGTACACCCGTATGGAATTACTTTGGGAGTCATTAGTCCTTTAGCAATGCGAAGCTGCTAATATCTGTGACTTTTGTCTTCTAACAAAGAATTGTTGATGCTTTTAATGGAATATGAGACAGGAAAATATACATCTACCTTAAATTCACACTCCATTAAAGCACCTTAGTATGTATGAAGTCATTTCATCTGTCGACGACAACAATAATATTCCAGTATATTCCCATAAGTAAGGTATGGAAAGAATAGGATGTATGCAGTCTTATTCCTATCATAAAAGGATAAAAAAGCTATTTCCGAAAGATCATAGTCATTTCATTTGTCACGCTCCAAAGCGTATTACTTTCATGAATTGAAAGAGCTCAACTTCATTTTCAAAATCACGGTATAGTAAACAACAACAAAAAAGATCTAAAAGTCATTATTAATTGTCTCAAGCTTGACACTTATTCTTTTTTAATAAATAATAAATAGAGAGAGGAAAATGACCATACTTCGGTATTGTTTTATTGTTTATTTGAAAAGTAAGAAGTACTCTGCTCGAGTTGCGTAGTCAGCACCTTCATTGACGTGGATTAGAATTTAGAGATTCTCTTTCTTTGGTGTTAATCTTGAGCTAAGATTAAGAAGTCTTGGGTACTTCGACAAAATCAAGATTGGCTAATACGACATGTTATTTTTAATTATTTCATACTTGATTAGCTTTTGATTGAAATTTTAATTATGTACACTATTGACGTGTAATTTTTCTACACTATTCACCTGTAATTTCTTACACTATCAGATAAAAATGGCTTAATAATGGGTAATATAATCATATAAGTTTGACGGGGTAACTTGGAAAATAAAGTAGTCCGTAATACATAACTTGCTACTATAATTTGTTGAAATGGAGATTGATCGAGAGAGAATTAAGCTCTAATTGGCTGAGGAAGAGAGAAGAGAGAAGAGAGAAGCATCAGAGTGAATGTAACAGTAAAGGAGGAAATAAAAGCTCTGCTTTTCATTAGCTAAACAAACTGTATATATACATAGTATTACTAACTAATCTAACTACCTTTCTAACCACTCACATACATTGTTAACTAACTAACAATTCACTAACCTGTTATCCCTTAAATAGACTAAGCTACCCTTCACTCAAGTTACATTATTTGTCTAAACACTCCCCCTCAAGGTAGGTGGTAGGAAGACATCAAGTACACCTAGCTTGGACATCAAATACTCATGTTGAGCTCGTGGTAGTCCTTTGGTTAGAATGTCTGCTAGTTGCTCCTTTGTAGCTACATATTATGTTCGTACCAGATTATTCTGTATCTTCTCCCTTATGAAATGAAGATCTATTTCAATATGTTTGGTTCGTTCATGAAACACAGATTGGCAGCTATTTGAATTGTTGTTTTGCTATCAGTGTAGATGTTCAGAGGAAGATCAACCTTTACACCAATGTCTTTGAATATACCAAGTATCCATACCAACTCAGCTATAGTTGAAGCAATGCTTCTGTACTCAGATTCTGCAGAACTCCTAGAGATGGTGCTTTGTTTCTTTGACTTCCAGGATATCAGGGAACTACCATATTTGATGAAGAAGCCTGTTATTGATTTTCTAGTGATAGGGCAGGCTGCCCAGTCTGCATCACAATATGCAGTGGTAGTGTGTCTCTGCTTGCTAGATAAAAGTATGCCTTGACCTGGTTGATTCTTCACATATCTGACCACCCTTTGAGCAGCTTCCAAATGAGATCTTTTGAGTTTCTGCATGAATTGGCTTAGTGTTTGAACACTGTAGGCTTTGTCTGGTCTTGTGATAGTAAGGTATAGTAATTTCCCTAATAACCTTTGATATTTGTTGATGTCTGTTAGGGCTTCATCATCAGTTGTACTAGAGTTGCTGGTATGTTCATCATATTCCTTAGTGGTCAATTTGATGTTGGCTTCAATAGGTATTGTTGCAGGCTTTGCAGCTCCTAGTCCAAGCTCGGAAATCAACTCTAGAATGTACTTCCTTTGGTGCATCAGTATACTTTTCTGTGACTTGGCAAACTCAATGCCAAGGAAGTATTTAAGTTCCCCTAGATCTTTCATTTTGAATATCAGCTACAGCTTGGTCTTCATCTCAGCTATTAGTGTCAGATTAGGCCCAGTGATTAGCATGTCATCAACATACATTAGGATGATTAAGATATGCTCCCCTGACCCTTTGATAAACAATGAGTGATCATGCTGACTTTGCAGAAAGCCAAAGCCCAAAGTGCCTCAGACACTTTAGCATTTCACTGTCTGGGTGCCTGTTTAAGTCCATACAGGGATTTCAAGAGTCTACAAGCTGGTCGTGTCTCCCCCTGACTCTGAAAACCTTGAGGTAAAGTTATATATATATATCTCATCATAGAGGCTCCTTAAAGAAAAGCATTATATCCATTTGATGGATGTGCCAGTGCTCAGAGGCTGCGACAGCTAGAATGGTTCTAACCGTGACCATCTTAACAACTGGACTGAATGTTTCTTGGTAGTCAATACCCTCCTTTTGGTTGTACCCTTTAGCCACAAGCCTGGTGATCACGCCCAACTATGTCGTATAAAAGGACAATGCGGTCGCTGCAAATATAATCCGGTTTACAAGTCCGGAATCGAATCCCACAGAGAGTTAACCTATCAACTGCTACCTTCAGACCCACCAAGTCTTCAGAACCAGCTTCTCAAATATTCAAATTCTCAGTTGAGTGTTCTTTAATAACTAGCTTGTAAGTAACTAAAAGGCTATAACTAAATTAGAAGGGTTGTAAACAATTATGAGAAAAAGCTAAGGCAATGATTTCCCCTATTGATGGAATCCCTTCTGTTTATGCTCATACAAATTTACCCACACATCTCTATCAATCATGAACGCTAATCTTACCGCAAATCTCTCCCGAGTAATCACAGTAATCTACTATTGCACTCTCCCGAGATACACTAACTTGCTTTATTTAATCACAATTCACTTTAGATTGCACCCAAGGCTTCGTTATTCCTAATCCCGCCTTTAAACCCGCAATTATGGATTCCTCTAATAAT